AGGGGCTACCAGGAGACCCCTGTGTACCTGTTGGGAGAGCTGGGCTGTGGGCACAAGCTTCAGGGACCCTGCCTCATTATCGATAGCAACAGGTAGGCTGGAGTCTGGCCAGGGTGTGGCTGTGGGGTTGAGGGCTGGGCCACAGCTGCCAGGGCCTTGGTGAGCTGGGCAGCCAGGTGGGGTTCTCTGGCCCAAAGCTGCGAGTCTGAAGGCCTCTGGGGCCCATCATGGTTGGGGTGCCCCTGACCTGGGGATGCTGGGCAGGAGAGCCTGGCCTACCCCTCTAGCCCCTCTGTGTTCCTGCCGCCAGCACCATCCTGGTGGAGCCAGGCTGCCAGGCGGAGGTGACTGAGACTGGGGACATCCGCATCTCCGTGGGGGCCGAGACCCCCAGCATAGTGGATGCCCAGCTTGACCCCGTCCACCTGTCCATCTTCTCGCATCGCTTCATGAGCATTGCTGGTGAGTGGCTGTCTCTGTCCTCCCCCATGGCCCTGCTCCCCGCGGTGTAGTTTGGGGGCCTGCATGTAGGGCAGAGGTGGGTGCTGGCAGCACGAGTATGGGTGGCAGAGGGAGGGTGCTGCCCAGGGGAGGGGCAGACGCACTCCTGCTGGTGACAGGAAGATGGCCCAGCCCCGGCCCTGGAGGACACAGCCCCGCTGTACCAGCAGGGTGTGATCTGGGGTTGCCATCCTGGGCACGGACGGGAAGCACTGGAGACCCTGAAGCTTGTACCTTGCCCAGGCTCTTGCCATGCTAGGCTGGCCGGAGGGTTGATGTGGGGCACTAGGCTCTCACCGGGGTGCCAGGCAGTGGTAGAGGCAGGGCGTGCCCCTCACACAGGCAAGGTGGCCTGGCTGTGGTGTCACTGTGTCCGGGTGGGCCACCACCACCTTTGGATAATCAGGGCCCTGGAGGCTCTGGAGGCACAGGTGCCGCCTCTTCGTACCCTGGGGCTCTGCTCTGGGAAGGATGCGGCCAGCAGATGCCTGGTACTCTGTGTCCCCAGAGCAGATGGGCCGCATCCTACAACGCACAGCCATCTCCACCAACATCAAGGAACGCCTGGACTTCTCCTGTGCCCTCTTTGGGCCTGATGGGGGGCTGGTCTCCAATGCCCCCCACATCCCTGTGCACCTTGGCGCCATGCAGGAGACCGTGCAGTTCCAGGTTTGGTGGGCCCCTCTCCCCGCCCTCTTGCCTGGCCCCCTCTCCCCACCTCTGCTCTCCATACCTCCTGTCTCCTGGCTTCAGATCCAGCACTTGGGGGCTGACCTCCACCCCGGCGATGTGCTGCTAAGCAACCACCCCAGTGCAGGGGGCAGCCATCTGCCAGACCTGACTGTCATCACTCCGGTGAGGGCCACTATAGGGCATTTCTGGGGGGGCAGGTGTGGCCGACACAACTGACTGTTGCTCTCCATCCCTAGGTGTTTTGGCCGGGCCAGACACGGCCTGTGTTCTATGTGGCCAGCCGTGGGCACCATGCTGACATTGGAGGCATCACACCAGGCTCCATGCCCCCACACTCCACCTCCCTGCAGCAGGAGGGCGCTGTCTTTCTGTCCTTCAAACTTGTCCAGGGTGGTGTCTTCCAGGAGGAGGGTGAGTAGGAATGGAGCTGGGGTTGGGGGTTGGCAGTTGGGGTTTCAGCTAGCACACGAGGCTGCCGCCCACAGCTAGGCAAGGCCAGATGCTGGAATGCAGCCCACTGGCCCAGGCCTGCCTCAAGGCTGTGGGTGCCAGGCAGTGACCCCCTGGGGGTGGTTGCAGACCCTCTCTCAGAAATGAGCAGAGGAGCTTTGCCTGGGCTCAGTGGTTTGGGGATGGGATGTTGGCCAGGATAACCAAAGGACTGGGTACAGGAGAGGTCAGAACTGATCTCAAGGGAGGCAGCTGCTCTTGGTGTTTATGGTCTGCACTGGGGTTGCACTGGGTCCCCGGGCTGCAGAGAAGCCACGGGGCTAGGGGTCAGGGGCTGCAGGCTCTTGGAGAGAGTCACTGGGCAGCATCATGGCCCACGCTGGTCTGCCTGTGCCACAAGAGCCCCTGCCTGGGTGCAGAGTGAACACGCTGTCTGAGGGTGGCCTGGAGGCTGGGTGGGGGCCATGGGGGAGGGGAAGCAGTAGGGGCCGTGGGTGATGCTGAGTCTCAAGCTGGGCAGCAAGGGTGGAGGTGGGGTGGCAGCCACAGGCTGCTGTAGGTGCCGAGGACGCAGACACAGTGACCTAGGCCTGGCTGCTCCCTCAGCGTGGGATGGGGGCAGGTGGCAGGGATCATGGGAGGGACATGGGCAGGAACGCAGCAGAGGATGCTGGCCTGGCAGCCTCAGAAAGGACGTGACCCGGACTCGGGGGAGAGGCTTTCCCAAAGCGGGGAGGGGTCCTTAGGGCCAGGACTTGCCCAGGGGGGCAGGACTGTTCAGGTCTGTTAGGCAAGAAGGGGTAGGGGTGGGGGTGGGGGTGGGGACAGGGCTAAGGGGAAGTGTGAGTAAGGGGAAGGTCAAGAAAGTGGTATTTCTCCTGGAAGAGGAGGGGCTCCCAGAAAAGGCAGGAGGGAGTAGGGCCCATAGGCGGTGGGGCAGGACCAGAGGAGTGGAGGAGGGACCAGAGTTTGACAAGAGATGGACCCACCCCTCTCCCCCTCTAGGCTCCTGCAGCTCCTGTGATGTGACAGGCAAAGCTGCCTGCCTGCCTGGGGTACTCTGCAGGGCTGGGGCACAGGAAGAAGGTCCAGCAGATGGGGGAAGGCTGGGGGGTGTTCTGGGCACTGGAGCTAGCAAGATCATGGCGAGCCAGGGATGAGCCAACGTATGGGGGCCCCCACAGTGCCCAGTAGGGACACAGCAGGTGTGGAGCGGGGCGCCAGGCAGTCCCCTGGGGCTTGTAGGTGACTCGGTGGTGACCTCACCCGTTAGCGTTAACTGAGGCCCTTCAGGCGCCAGGCAAGATTCCTGGCTGCAGCGGGACACGGAATCTGCATGACAACCTGTCAGACCTACGTGCCCAAGTGGCAGCCAACCAGAAAGGCATCCAGCTGGTGGGAGAGCTCATCGGGCAGTATGGCCTGGATGTGGTGCAGGCCTACATGGGCCATATTCAGGTGGGCCTGGTGGGCAGGAGCATGGGGGCAGCTCGGTGCCCACCCCCAGGCAGCTGGCCCACCTGGAAGGCGAACATACTCCTGGTTAGGCAAACGCTGAGCTGGCCGTGCGGGACATGCTGCGGGCCTTCGGGACCTCCCGGCAGGTGCGGGGACTGCCCCTGGAAGTGGCTGCAGAGGACCACATGGACGATGGCTCCCCAATCCAGCTCCGTGTGCAAATCAACCTGAGTCAAGTCAGGCTGTGGTGTAGGGGGTAAGGGAGGGCCCTGGGCATCGGAGACGGTGTCTGGCTGCTGAGACCTCTCCCCCCACTTTGGCTGGCAGGGCAGCGCAGTGTTTGACTTCAGCGGCACCGGGCCTGAGGTATTTGGCAATCTGAATGCACCGCGGGCCATCACGCTGTCCGCCCTCATCTACTGCCTGCGTTGTCTGGTGGGCCAAGACATCCCACTCAACCAGGTGTGCAGGGGTGTGCAGTGTGGGTGGGCAGCAGGACGTCAAGCCCCTGGTCACCCTGGGTGAGCCTGGGATGAGGTCAGCCCAACAACAGACTGACCTTAAGAGTGCTAGTTGGGGGGGAAACATGCATCTCCTAGTTGCCCCTAAGAGGTGGCCTCTCCCTCACAGGGCTGCCTGGCGCCAGTGCGCATTGTGATTCCCAGAGGCTCCATTCTGGACCCGTCCCCTGAGGCGGCCGTGGTGGGTGGCAACGTGCTCACATCGCAGCGTGTGGTGGACGTCATCCTGAGGGCCTTTGAGGCCTGCGCGGCCTCCCAGGTGCGGTGGGTGGGTGGGCGCCGCTCAGGCTTGCTGGGCGGCAGGCCCTTGGGTGGGGAGGGGATGCCTGTCCAGCCGAGCGCAGCTGCCCCTTGACCCTGCCAGGGCTGCATGAACAACGTGACCCTGGGCAACGCCCACATGGGCTATTACGAGACGGTGGCGGGCGGCGCGGGCGCGGGCCCGGGCTGGCACGGGCGCAGCGGCGTGCACACCCACATGACCAACACGCGCATCACCGACCCTGAGATCCTGGAGAGCAGGTGAGCGGTGGCGGGGGTGGGAGGGAGGAGGGCGGGGGGCGGGGCCTGGCCGCTTAGCCCCCGTGCCGTGCAGGTATCCCGTCATCCTGCGCCGCTTCGAGCTGCGGCCGGGGTCCGGGGGTCGGGGCCGGTTCCGGGGCGGCGACGGCGTCATCCGCGAGCTGCTCTTCCGAGAGGAGGCGCTGCTGTCCGTGCTGACAGAGCGCCGCGCCTTCCGGCCGTACGGCCTCCACGGTGGGCGGCTCCCTTCCTCTGCACCCCAGCCTCTCTTCCCTCCCTGCCCCCTGCCCCGCCCCCCAGTGTCAGCGCCTTCCTCGCCTCTTCCCGCAGGGGGCGAGCCCGGCGCCTGCGGCCTAAACCTGCTGATCCGCAGGGACGGCCGGATGGTGAATCTGGGCGGGAAGACGTCCGTTCCCGTGTTCCCCGGGGTGAGGATCGCGGCCGGTCCTGCCCTGTCCGCCCCCCATCCCCCATCCCCCATCCCCCAGAGGGTTGACAGAGTCGAAAAGTAACCAGAGACCGAGTTTGATTTGGTTCCTGAAGGAAAGGCGGCACCCACTGCGCCTTCGTGGCCCAGGCCGGCCGCTGTGGGTGCGCTGCCCCGGTCGGGGCGAACCGAGGCGGGAGGCAGGGCGGCAGGGCGGCGGCCATGCCTGCGCTGAACCCGGCCCTCTGATCCGCAGGACGTGCTTCGCCTCCACACCCCGGGCGGCGGCGGCTACGGGGACCCGGAGGACCCCGCCCCTCCGCGGCGGTGGGCTCGGCCGCCCGCGGCCTTCCCCGAGCGCGGCAGTGTCTCCGAGTACCGCAGGGCGCAGGAGGCCGTGTGAGGGAGGGAGGCCCACGCAATAAAGCTCCCCGGGCGCCCGGCCCCGCGGTCCCGGTCTCGTCTCCACCCCGCCGCCGCCTCAGGGCCTGGACCCTCGGAGTCCAGGTCCCACCGCCGGGTGGGCGGTGAGCCCCGCCAAGGCGGTGCTGGATGTCACCTGCCCCACCTCCTGGGGGCGAGGGTCGGGTTGACGAGTCGCCCCAGGACCAGTGAGAGCAGCGCTCTGACCTCTGGCCCTTACTGGGCTCAGAGGGCTCCCCGGGGCTCCCCGGAAGGTGATGTAGTCCAGGCGGCGGCCTCCGCCAGGAGGGCCGGCCGGTAGCGGAGGCGCCCTTCCTCCTGCCCCAGGGCCCTGAGGAGGGGCGGGGTCACCAAGGCCCAGGCAGGGCACCTCTCTGTTTCGGGTGGTTGGCCGCTCACCCCCGCAGCATCTCCGGGGAGCAGGCCACCGAGTGGTGTCTGTGGGGCGCGGGGAGGGCGGTGTCAGCGGGAGCCCCGGCCAGGAGCCGTCCCAAGTCCGCCCCCGCCCGGCGCCGCACCCACAGCCCACGGCTGCTCCGGCGCGTGCCCAGCCGGCAAGGGTCCTGGAGCGGCTGAAGAGCGGGTGCCGCTGCTCCTGCGCGTCCGCTGCGGGGAGAGACCCGCGCTCAGTGGGCGGGGCCGGGCCGCCGGCCCGCCCCCTGCGCCCTTCCCTCGCCTAGTGAGCAGTTGTCGAAATTTAGGCCACCCCGGAGCACGCTGAAGGCCACGTCCTCGTCACTCCGGCGGCTCTCGGCCTCGAACTGCTCGGCCCGGTCCAGCAGCAGCGAGAGCTGTTCACAGCGCAAGGGCCCGTCCTCTACGGAGAGGAAGGCTCCTAGGGTGCCGCTCTGCGTCGGGGACACCCAGCCGCACCCGCTACCGCCGCAGCCCGGCCCCGGTCCGCGAGCCCACCCGGGCACTCCCAGAGGCTCGCGGTGCCTGGGGCAGACGGTGAGGTGAGCAGAGGTGCAGTGAGGGCTGGGACCTGCCGCCGCCGTGCAGAGAGGCGGCACCGTCAGCCCCACGCCAAGATCGCCTCCGCGGGGCTCACCACTCGGCGCATGTGCGTGCGCGCGGCGCCCATCCAGGATGCCCAGCTGCGCCTGCAACACCGCATTCCGCCCCAGCAACCCTCGCTTGTTGTACCCCACCCCCACCGCAACAGGGAGCGGCGCCGCGTGTGCGCGGGTACCTGTGCGGAAAACAGTCCCTTGGAGGCCAGCGATTCCTCGCGACTCGCGTGGGGGAAGGGCCGGAAGGAGGCATGCAGCAGTGGGTAGCGCGAGGCCAGCAGCAGGCCGCTGCCCAGCAGTTTGAGGTGCGGCCCGGGCTGCAGGCCGAACGTGCCCACGTCGTACAGCACCGGGCCCAGATTGGGCACCAGGCGGCTCACCAGGCTGCGCTCTGAGCGCAGATCGAACATCTGCAGACAGACGAAATCCAGACCCGCAGGCACCGTAGCTGTCAGCATCCCGCACGGCGCCCCCCGCCCCGCCTCTGCTCGCCGTTGGCTGTGCCGCAAGTTGCTGAAGCGCGCCAGCCCGTCGGGGAGCAGGCACAGGTTGGCGCTGAGGAAGCCGAAGCAGCGCGCGGGCTCATCTGGGGGGCGCCAGGGCACAGGGGGCGCCCGGCATTGCGGAGGGGGCTGGTAGCAGAAAGGGCGGCGCCAAATCTGCAGCGGCAGCCAGAGCAGCAGGCCCGGCAGTGCCAGGGGCGGGCTGAGCAGCAGCAGGGCCGCTCCCGCGCGCCGCCGGGGCCCAGCAGCCAAGCAGCCGGTCCAGGGCCCAGTAGGCCGGGAAGAGCAGCGCGCGGGTCAAACAGTGGAGGGCGTGCAGAGCAGGGTGCGGGAAGGGAGAGGGCCGTAGGGTGCCGGGCGTCGGGGGCCAGTCGGGCGGGGATTGCATGGCGTTCGGGGCTGCGCGGCCGCGGGACGCCACGGCGAATTATTCACTTCCACCGTGGCCGCCGACTCGGCAGTGCGTCCTCCCGAGCTGCAGGGGAGTCACGGGAGTCCAGGCCACGTGGCCCAACCTGTGCGCGGGGCCGGTCAGACGCTGTGCCGAGGGAGCCTGGGGGCGCCCCCGAGGCCGGAGCTTCCAGGAAGCGGCCCTCCGCACCCGCGCGGGATTTCGGCGGCGTTAGGGAACATGAAGGGGAAAGCGAAGGGCAGCCTAGACTCGCCGTCCCGCCCCAGTCCTCGCCCTGCTCTGCCCGCCTCCAAGGGCTGCAGGGAGAATTCCCCAAGTCGCCCAGCGGGAGCGGGGACTGGGGTGCACAGCACCCCAAGTGGACGGGGACCCTCTTTAGGGCGGGAGGGCGTAGCGCCAGCTACAGGAGTAGGAGGGGTACACGCTGCGCCCTGCTCCCTCCCCTCCCCTCCCCTAAGTCTGCAGGGAATTGACGCGGCGCTCCGCTGCCCAGACTGCGGGATCTACTCCGTCCGCACCCGACTCCTCGAGTCGCGATGTCCGCAACTGAGTTCAAAGACGGACTTGGAGTGGCCTAATCAGCCAGCCCCTCAGCACCCCGCAGAGCCCCCCAGAAGGCCGCCTCTACCCCAGGACTTTACAGTCTGGGGGCAAGGGACCGTCGGTCGCCCTGCGCGGCTGCTCCCTTCCTCGCCCCAGGCACGCGCGCCGGAGGGAAGCAAGCCTCCCCCCCCGCCCCCACGGAGCCCCCTCGCACCTGCTGGGTCGGTTCCGAGGACCCGGCCGCCCCGCGCTCCCCCAGGCGCCGCCGGGCCGGGGCCTCCACCTTTCTAAGGAGAGCTGCGGGCCAGCCGCTCGGCTCTGGCTTTGGGCCTCACGTCCCCCGGGTTTTGCGTCAAGGCTGCTCTTCAAGCGCTGCTGCACCATCCACCCCAAAAAACTAAACAGAAATCCTGGATTCCCCTTGGAATTCAAGATCTACGGTGGCGTGTGCTCCCGGCTACCTCTGTCCTCACCAGGCCTTCTCGGCACAGAGCTGGATTTATGTCGGGGTCTTCACTTTCTGCCGTTGGGGTCTTTCCCTGCTGGACTCCCTGAAGCAGACCAGGGAATCTGGGGGACCGCCGTAAGCCCACACAGCCTCCCCTCCCCTGTATGTAGGCTGGCTGCTGACATGGTTCCCATTTGAACCCAGACCTTGGGGCTCCTCGGTTCCCTTGGGGTCCTTTGGCCCGTGAGTGCTGGTGCTCCGGGAACTTCAGGGCGGGGGTCCTCATTCCAAGCCCCGCCCCCCGCCCCTTCCTCGGGCGGGTCTTCCTCCCCCTGTGGGCCAGAGGCCACTCTGGGCTCCCCACACTCCCCTCCTCTCCACATGCATCCCTGGCAGGGACAAGCCTCCAGGCCCACAAGCCCCCATCTGAGTCTGAGATCCCCCCAGGGTCCCCCCAGCCCATTCCACCTCCCCGCTGCTCCGGTACGCTCTCCCGTCCTGCCTGGGCTCCTCAGCTCCACCCCGCGGCAGGTGGGGTCCGGCCTCCCAGGGGAGTCTCCTGCCCCAGATCTCCCAACCCTGCGGGGCTGGCCTCTTCTTCCTGGGTGTCTGTGCTGCGGGAGGGGCCCCATCTCCCTGGGCTGCCCTGTGCCCAGATTTGGGTGAGGCTGCTTTCTCCTGGCTCCCCTCCCTCTAAGTGTCCCCCTGCCGTCAGAAGCCCCCCAGCCTTGCCCCCCTCCACCACCCTCCCACACCCACGTCCTCGTCCAGCTCCCACCTCTGCCTCAGCTCTGCACACGACACCAGTACTTCTGGCACAGGCATGGCCCTTCCCTGCCTATTCGGCTCCTTTCTGCCTCCTTCTCCTACCCCTCCGACTCAGGGGCTCCTGCTGCCCCCACCACCAGGTGAGGGGAGCCCTGGGGCCTTCGGCTGCCTGGTCCAGACAGCTGCTGCGCTTTGGACTCATGGTTCCCGCTAAGGACCCCGGAATGGGCATGGAAACCCCAGGACAGGGAGGGCCGGAGGGGTGCTGAGGAGGGGACGCTGGCCAGCCAGCCCAGAGGAGGCAGCACCATGCAGAAGTGCTGGCCCAGCCCCAGCGGCCAGTGGCTATTGGGAGCTTTATAGGAAGCTTTAATGGTCACACACGGGGTGAGAGCGGAGCCAGCTCGGGCTACGGGCGTCACCAGATAAACATGGGCTTGCCGTCGTCATGCGCCAACTGGCTGAGGCAGGACAGCAGCAGCAGCGCGTCTGTGAGCATGCTGGGGTGCACGGTCTCCACCAGCACGCGCTGCAGGAAATCCACAGTGTAGGAGCAGCCCTCGGAGGCAGCCAGCTCGGGCCGCTCCCGCAGGATGCCGTAGGCGTTCACCAGCTGCTCAGTCAGCGCGGGGTGCACGCGCCCATTGTACCCCAGGCTCTGCAGCCGGTTCATGATGCTCACGTAGCGCTGTGTGAGCATCTGGCACAGCTCCTCGTCCAGCTTGTGGTCGCTGGGGTTCAGGGAGGCCTGAGGGGACAGCAGTCATCAGGGACCCTCCTGCCCCACATAAGCATAGGGCTGCAGCTGTGTGCTCGAGGAAGGTGTCCTGGCAGTCCTGGGGGAGAGGCCACAAGGGGAAACCCAGTGGGCTGCGCCTGAGCAGGGAGGTTCCCCACACCATCCCTGCTCCGTCTGCCGCTAGGGATTTGGCACAGAGCTGAGGCCGGAAGCAGCTGAGCACAGAGCCTGGCTCTGCGCCTGGAGGTGAAAGAAAGATGGCATTCCTAATGCCCCCAGGGTGGCCTGACTCGGGGGACCTGCTCGGTGCCTTTCCCAGGCCTCCTCCTGCCTCCCTGCCCTGCTGTAGCTACCGCAAGCCCCTCGTCTGTCACCCTGGACTGCATCCCCAGAACCCTTCCCTCCCCTGGCTGAGCTGACAACCCCAGGCCCAGAGCCAAGGCTCCCAGGCTCCACAGTGGGGTCCTTGGGTGTCCCCTCCGGGTCTGGGACCTGGGCCTGGCCGCAGTGGGCCAGTCTCCACCAACTTCAGTGCCTGTGCCCCCAAACCCTTGTGATTGCCTCCAGCAACACCTCACCAATAAGTCAGCCCTTCCTGTTCACCCCTCCCACCATTGCCACCTGGGCATGTGACCCGGGCATTCACACAGGTCCCCAAGCTCAGAAGGACCATGCACTTGGCTTAATGCTCTGCTGTAACCATCTTGCAGTTCTTCATACTTCTGGAACATTGAGCCTTGTATTTTCATGTATACTGGGTCCAGCAGATTCTATACCTGACACAGGTGCAGCTGCCCTCAGGCCTGCAGAACCATGTGTCTGAAGGTAGTTGGGTGGGGCTCTCACTGCCCGAGCCCCCTGCACCTCTCACTGCTTCAACTCTCTGGGCCAGGGCTGACCTACAAGGTCCCCCATCTGGGCTGCCCACCCACTTCCAGTCATTCCCTAATTGCCCACCAGGCTGGTTTCTAACCTGCTGGGGATGCTCAGACAAGCTGTTCAGGCATCACCTCCTTTGGGAAGCCGCATCCTCTCCTCCCCAGGTGATCATGTGAGTAGAGCTTTAAGCTCATGGCTGGGCTCACCTGAGGTGACCCCTGACCTCTGGCAGGTACACCCAGAGCCCTGTGCTCAGCACCTTTGCTAAGACAGGCCTGTCTCCCTGACTCCAGGCTCCTCTTGGCCCCTTCATTCACCTGTTCCCAGGCCTCATGCTGGGCAAAGGGCAGAAGCTCAGCTAACATTTGCAGATAAGCAAGTGAACCTACAGCTAGCCATCAGGATGGCATGGAGCACAAGGTGGGCCACTTTAAGCCTTAGCTCTGTTGGGCTGCGGTTGAGCTCCTGCCCTGGGCCAGGCTGGGCACCCAGGGCTCTGCACATGAGCGGGAGTCTGGAGGTGGACTGTGCCACCCTACCTGGGTGCTGGAGAGAGGAGAGTGAAGTGGGCATATTTATGCTGAGAGACAAGGCCACGGCTGCCCCCAGGAAGGGACCCCTTGAGAGTGGAGGGCAGTTGAGGGAGAGTGAGTGGGGAAGAGCAGGACCAGCACCCCAGCTGCGAGGCAGCCGTAGGGTGAGAGTCCTCCCTCCTTCCCAGGCACCTAGAAGCGGGCACAGGTGAGACCACCCATCGCTGGCTTTGTGGTTTTGAAAAGTTAGGCTGACTACTATAGGGGACAGACAGAAGCTGATGAGAGAGGGTGAGGGGCTCTGTTTATCCATCCCGCAGATACTGTCTGAGGCCTGCCCTGTGCTGGGCACTGTACCAGGTGACATCATTCAAGCGTGCGCAAAAGCCCTCTGAGTGTACACTGATGACAAGACCATAGGGAGACAGTACTGTGAGCGACCCCGGTGGCTCCCCGGAGGGTGTCCTGGAGGGAAGGGGGCGGGGCTGAGATCTGAAGGCGGAGGAATAGCATGCTCTGCGTGGAAGATGCCAGGAGGCTGAGCGAAGAATGAGGAGCTCACAGGTGGAGAGCTAGGCTCAGTGGCCATCTCTGTCACCACAGTGGATCTGAGCCTCCGTCTCCCCACTGTGAATGGAGGAAATCACAGCCCCACCTAACAGGGCTGCTTTGAGGATTAAAGGAAATGTTTCTAGCTCCTGTGCGGGTCAGCACCACCATGTGGACATCCCTACACCGTGGACACACCGATGGACTCTCAGTTGAGCAGAACTGTGTTTCAAAGGAAGAGAGAATGGAGGGGCATCCCCAGGCAATGAAGTTTGCGGGGTGGGGGGTGGGGACAGGGTCTGGGTGGGAGACAGCCTGCACAGCGGCACCACATCTCAGCACCCAGCTCCCACTCTCAGACTCTCTTGCCCCTTGGGGTGAGAATCACCCCCTGACCCTCTAGCACACAGATTTGTGGCTTTTATTGATTTTTGTAGGTCTCCCCAGGTAGGGGTGAGCTCCCCCAAGCAGAGACTTTGCCTGTATGGTATGCACTCGGCATACACTGAATGCCCAGTACTAGTCAGGGGTGAATAGATGGAGGATGACCAGTCCTGTGACAAGTTTGGACTAGGGGTCAGGAGTGGGGGACAAAGAACATGCAG